CTCGTTTGGGTATCCCTTATTTGTTGCGTAACTGTACCCAATTGGCCCACAATCATGTCTAAGGTCGCTTGCATATGTGCGGGATCCATGGTTGGGTGTTGGGGATTGCTAGGGGAGGTTACAGACAAGAGGGCAGCACCTAGACACTCTAAAAATTAACTCCTAAGGGTTCCAAAAAGTGCAGGAATTAAGAAGGACAGCAAGCTAAATGATGGACGAAGTTACCTAGGCAATTTGGGTGGATTCTAGAGTGTGGACAGCAGGTGAATACTACCTAGAACTCGCCCAAAAGTCTACTAAAGGGCGCAGAAATTAAGTGGACAGCAACCTGAATTAGATGTCTAAGTGGCCTAAACTAATATGGAGGTTATGATATTGAAGGCAGCACTTAAACAGGGAACGATGCTTATGTAGAACAAAGAAATTACTGCAGGAATTACTGGACAGCCAAAGCAAAACAGTTTTAACAGTAAATAAAACTACCTAGATGATGTTATGCATGCAAATGACAAAAGGCAAGCTAAAGTAGACTCCTAGGATGCATCTAGCATAAGTAAAGCATGCTAGCAATGCTCTGATACCAAGATGATGTGAATCAAACAGGAGTTGCTTGCAGAAGTTAAAATAAAAGTTAACTAAAGCATTACCATGACAAATTTATCACCAATAAAATAAAGGATTAAATATATTCTAAGTAATCAACTTGCTTAGGCGAAGAGTTGCTTTGAGATAACCAAACAATTCATAAACATTCGAAGATAAAAGAACTACTTAAATGCTCATAACAAAATCCCACGATTAATAATGAGAAAATTCACCTCGAGCACCTTCTCACTCATTCACTCTTTGGCTTTTAGCGGAGAAGAAAGAACCACACGAAGATGGAGAGCACCACTACGGAAAAGGAGACGAAGGACTTCGTTACCGGAGAGGTAGTCGCCGGTGGAGGTGGTGGTGGATGGCGCCCGGTGATTGTTCAAGCGTAGTCTTGAAATTGGCGGTCAATGACGCGCACAAGTGAGGAGAGAATTCGCTCCAAGTATTCGCCAACTGTGTCTTCTTGCTCAAACCCCGCGTCTAAGAACGGAGATCGTAGGATGTTGAGACTACCGTCGGCGTTGAACACAAGCCCCCACTCGAATTCGGGATCCACCAGTCAACATTGAAGTGGGGATGGGAATAAGAAAAGAGAGGAGTTGGGCCGTGAGCTAGGGAGAGGCATGGGGAAAATCTGAATTTGAATTTCAGATTTTCTTGAATTGGAGGGAGATGTTATTTGCCATTAAAATCTCCCTAAATTATGTTAGAGAGAGAGGGGCGGCTATTAGGTGGGAATTTAAGAGGTTAATTAGTGGATGCTTAGGTGGCAAGTGGAGAGAGAAAAGGTTAGATGGGGTGGCCGGCCAAGCAAGGAGAAGAGAGAGGGAATTTGTGTAATTGGTGGGGCCCAATGAGTTAATTAAAATCTGATTTTAAATTTCAGATTTTAATTAATTAGGGAAGGTTTCCTAATGGGGAAAAGAAGAGGGGAATTCGAAATTTGAATTCAAACGAGATTGGGTCTCAATTAAATCCTTTCTTAATTGTGGTAAGCAATTTAGGAAAGGATTCATGAAGGTGTTAATGTGAAAATTCAAATTTCAAAGAGGGAGGGGGCGGTGGGACTTCTCCAGTGGAAGAGGGCTGGGCTTAGGGGTGGACGACGGGATCTGGGTGGGCCGGCGGCTGGCTTAGCCGGCGGCAAAGAGGGAGGAAGGGGGGGATCGGCGGGGTCTGGGGGGTAATTGGCTGGATTGGCTGCAGGGGAGGGGACGGGCGTATGGGGAGGTGGTGGGGAAAGAAGAAAACAACAAAAATAAAAGTAAAGCCAAGAGCTCACAAAGATGGGTTGTTGGGTATTTCGGGTGGAGCCTCTCCTAGGTCTCCTCTCTTTCTCTCAAGCTCTCAAGCAAGAATAAGAAGAAAAATCTCAGAAATTTTATTCATCCCACATTATGCTCATACAATAGGAGGAGACCTCTTTGTAATGGCCTCATCAAAAGAAAATAACATGACTCAAATGCCCACAGGGCTACAACTAAGACTCAACCTTCATAATGGCAAAATAGTAAACTAAAGCTTGAAATAAAAAAAAAAACACATAGAAAATATCATAAGATGACATGGCAACATCAGAAATATAAGCTCCTAATCGTAGCCGTCGATCTACGATTCCTTCGCCGGTAGACCTGCCTAAAATGTCTGTCGATGACCTCATCACATATCTTCCATTAATAGAAAGAATATTTCTTTATCAATTTTCTAGAAAGTTTTTATTTTTGGAAATTATTATTATCAATTATGAGAAAAGCTACTATCATCAATTTCACATCACCATCTTTCAAATATGGAAAGTTATAATTTTATTATTGCCGTGCAAAAGAATTAGGAAATAACTAGATTTTTATCATTTTCATCAAATTTGGAGCAATGAAAGAAAATTTAACCATGAAAGCATTTTAAATCACTCACTTTCCAATGGACATGGATGAACTCCCGAGAGAAGAGGTATGAAAATTTGGCCTTTCCTCTCTCTCCTCTTTTCTTTATGGACATATTGCTAGGATGGAAGTTCCGAATGCTTTATTCAGTCAAGATATCAAGTAATCAAACAATCATGCAATCAACCACTCAAAGAATGATGTCAAGAGTTCATGGATCAATGCAGTGGAGTGGACATTTTTTTTAAGAAATATATATATATTTATATATATCTTATTATTGTAATGAAGGAGTTATAAATATGTAACAACTTTATTGTAAAAAGGTAGACTTAGTTGACTTATGTGGGAGTGTTGCTTATGTGCAATGTAAGAGCGAGAACTTAGTGGTTCTCTCCATGGATACTTTAGTGAGTTTTTCATCAAACTAATATTTTTAATGATTCATATTATTCATATAAATAATATCAATCCCTATCTCTATTCATGTCTTCCATATGTTGTCATGGGTAGCCCACCTTTCATCTACATTAATATGACTCAGATTATGAGGGATTTTAGAGTTAGTAAAGTGTGAATTTTGGGTGGTTTTCTTCAACCAAGTTATAGAGGGAAGTGAAAAAAGGTTCAAAATCATAGTAAATAGAATAATATTGAGGGAGGCATGGTCAAAATGCTGTTAACCATTCATGACAAAAAATAACTGAATATGAAATAAAATTTCAAATTTGGATAACATTTTTTAACACTCAATCTAACTTCAAATGTTGTAAAAATTTTATGATTGCCATGCTAATCAAGAAAAATAAAAAATTATTTAAATGTCTTCGGTGAAGTTTGAAACAAAAATTCAGCTACGAAAACCTAGATACCAAGGATTTCTAGCCTCTCTCATTAAATGACAGTGGAACAGATTAAGTGAGGTGGCGATATGAAAGGATAACATAATCAAAACTGATAAAGGATGTAAGAATAGGGAGAACTAGGAGTAGAACAGAGAATTGGTTTTCTTCTTTGATGATTGGTTGTACTTAACCAACAACCATTAAACTTGTGATGTGATGATCCTTGCACTTCGCTTGGATCCATGCACGTAGCTTCCTTTCCTATGGGGTCCAAATAAAGAAATATCTGATGATAAACACTCATTAACCATAGGAAAATAAATCTTAGTATATGCTAACAAATATTGACATTTTGCAGAAGGTCCAAGCAAAAGGAAAAATGCATACTAGATAAAAGCTAAATATATAAATTCATGTTAATGCTCATTATATATAATTAAATAAAATCCAACCTATTCATAAATTCTAAATAAAGGAAATAAACCCTTTCATTGTCATGCTGAGTTACTGGATGGTGTTTTGCTGGTGGTTCTGCATGAACGGTTACTAATTTGCATTTATTAATCTGAACAATTGTGATACAGGCTGTCATGCATTTACAGACGTAAACATTATTCCTAGTGTATGCTGGTAATGTTAATTATTATATTTATTATTCATGCATGAATTATAGAAACTACCTCAAATTTAACACATTCTTTATTTAGCTGTTATTTTATAAGCATTCAAATGAGCATGTGTGTTCTATTTTCATAAGTATTAGTTTCTTTATGAATAAGAATCATATGTTTTTGTTAAACAAACTTTTTTAAATTTGGTACTAATGGTGCATCATGCCTATTTAGTTAAATAAGCTGGTTGACTAAGTGAGTTGTGTATATGCATCATCTGTGTGATAAAGAAATTTGCCCTGAGAAAACTTAAATTTGTTTGTAAATTTCAATTATTTGCATGTTCGAATGGAAGATGAATTGTAAAATTTAGTTATGAAAATAATAAAAAAAGTGCAACTTGTGCACTAGTGTTTTGCCAATTATGTCATATTTCTGGGGGGTGTTTAGGCAACCCTTACTTTAGTAAAGAGAATGTACTGTGCTTCTAGTCCATGCCTCCAGTGCGTACAATGGGGCAATCTGATTGTTGTACATGGCTTCATTGAAGAGCAGGAAGCTTCATCGAAATTTATAAGCCACATTACAGCTCAAGGGATATTTATTATTTTTTGAACTTTAGAAATAAATGTGTATGTGGAAGCTAAGGGTCAAGGGAAACAAGCTACCTATACTATAATTGGATTATTATATCGATATTTGTTTATGTTCAATATTGAATGATAACCTTATTTGTTGCGGGTTTGTTTGAGTGTCTTCATTTAGCCAATGTTGTTCCTGGTCACTGGTGTTACATATGCAGATGAGGCACTTGCACAATCAATAATATAGGATTTTATGGTCGTTAAAAAAATGAAAACAACACTAATACATACTCTTAATACTTTACACCATACATTAATTTTTATCAATGGCATTTGAAGTGTCCGCTGATGCAACTACGCTAGCAAGTTTTAATCTAAACTTAATTATAATATATTACCTAGTAATGCATTCCAATAGCTTTCTTGTATATGTATTTAAATTATTACGTTAACATGTCGGCTGGAAATATTTGTGTTCAGGTCTTGTTGCCTACTGTAGTTCAGATGGCTGCACTCGGTACTTTCAGGTAATAAATTAATTAAGGTTGGTTGTTGGAAACAAATCAGCTTTCCTTCGTATAAATTGTTATACATTTTAGATGCAAATAGTATAAATCACATTTTTCTAAAACAGTTTTAGTTACTACTGTTTGTAGCTGACCGCTGAAGCAGTCGACAAGGATTCTAGTCGCTATCGTAAGCCACACTTCCTTTGTGGTTCTCTTGCTGAGGAAGGTCCAACTCTTAGTATCAACACCCCCTTGACAAGCGTTCCTTTACCCAAACAACCATTAGTTTCAAAGGTGGCGGCCAATGAGGCAAGGCCAATGCAAGGTAAACATAAATTTTATGTACAATTCGATTAGCAGATAATTCTTCATAACTCTTGATTTTCTTTTTCATTCAGCTTTATGTTCGTATGATGATTATGAAACAAGAAACAATAGCAGCCAGAAGAAGAGGAAAGGTAATCCAAGAAAGCAAGCAAGTGGAGAAGGTGTGCAAGACATTGAGATCAAGGGAGATAAATCTAGGCAAAATGTTGCAAGATTTCCTCCCAAAATCGTCGCTATGCACAAGGTAAGATGGAACATGAACAAAGGTAGTGGAAGATGGCTGTGTTATGGAGGTGCTGCTGGCATTGTACGATGCCAGGCTATATCCCTAAGATAGAAGATGGATGTTTAGGGTGGCGAGCACTCATTAGCAAGGTTGTATTTAGATTTATAATAATTTTAATTAATTTATTCCCCTCATTAAAAAAATTACTGGCTTTGCCATTATCATTAATTTTATATTTGTAAATATGTCATAATTATTGATGTATATGGATACTCAATTTATATGAATGAACACAAGCTTTATTTAATTTTGTTTCTTTGGTTAACACTGCCTACGTCAATGTCGTAGATTATATATTGGTAAGAAGTGTCATTTATTAAGTAGTGTAATTAGTTATGCATTCAGTACTATTATGTTATCATTTATGTATGTGGCTTTTACTTCGTTTCTTTAGCATTACTATTTTTTATTCGAATAGACTAATTCAAGCATTTGGCTTTCGATTCCTTTATAATGCTTTTAGGGCAGCTGTTGTCACCCCCCACATGCATCTCAATGTAGTTGTGATTATCCAAGATTGAATTAACTCTTCATTTCATTCTCTTTGTTGGGTCCTGCGGAAAATTGTTGCTTCTGCGGTAATAAGGTTGCTTCAGGTGATTGTTGTATTTGAAAATGAAATAAACCCTTTGGGGAAATTTGGTGTTTGCAAAGCTTAAATTTTTTTTTTTTGTTTTATTATTATTTCTACTGACATGCAATTAAATAATAGAAACTATTGAATTATTTTTGAGATGTGCGTTTTAATTTTAACATATTTTGGAATTATATGTATTATATGTATGCCCATGTATAGGTTTCATATACTCATTCAAATGTGACGAGTAAAATTATTTTTTAATATAATATCAAACCTACCCAATCTCTTTTAAACCAGCTATTGTTCCCCTCTAGTTTTGCACACTAACATGTTTTTATTTTTATGAAATAACAAAGGTTTGAAAATCAAACAGGTCAATGAACAAAAAGGGTTTAAGATTTGATAGTTTGAATCGGGGTCAAATTGGATGACGTAATGAATATTTATTATATTTAAATATTATAATAACGAAAATTATTTATAAATATATAACAAAAATTGAATATAATTATAATATGAAGCATTTGAATCATTAAAAAAAATAAAATATTATATAGAGTAAACAATAAAAGCATAATAGTATATTTTACTTCAAGGCAATCAATCGTAGAAGAATGCAAAAATACTTTATACTAATTGATAACAAAAAAAATATATATTCATGATATGGAGAGATATGGAGATAAAGTTAATAATGTTTCACTTTCTTAGTTTAATAATTTCAATAATTTTATAAGAGAAAAATCAAAGATATCTTAAATTAGTATTATAAAATCTATTTACATAAGTTGACTCTCCAAATCTCACTTAACAAAAATATTCAAACCCAAATGCATCTGATCGATCGAGCCTGATTATGTCACATAAATATCCTTCATTCTTTAAGTCACCTTCACCAAAAAATAAGAAATATAAAATAAGACATTATCTATGTTCTAGTTGATTAAATGATATGCTTTGATCTTCAATAACTGGCATTACATTCTCTTTGTATATCATTTTTCAAATCTTGTAAGTCAAGTTTTAAAGTTGTTTCATCTTCAAGTATTCAAAAATCAACTATTTCAAAACAAGTGTAGTCCAAAGGCTCATAATGTATTTTATTAAGTTAAAATAGAAAAAATGATTAAATAACTTTAAGTTAAGATTATAGATACTCTTTAACACTGCCGTTGCCAGGTCCCAAGTCCTGGATGAGAAAAGTGGAGGGTTGCGTTAGGTAGTCGACAGCCAGTGTAAAACCTATCGAACAATAATGACATGAATCCTTTAAGAAATTGTGTTAATGCTAGGGCGTCCCCTGGAAGCGACGCGCTGTATGACCTTAATACAATGACAAGTGTGCAAGGGCCGCTGCACCGGCCCCTGGGTGCAGTGTTAAATAGACAAGGGTTCCCACATCAAGGATGGATGTGGCAAAGAAGCTAGTCCATGAAACTAAAATTAAGATAGGAACTTGGAATATAGGTTCCCTTACAGGAAAATTAATGAAATTAATAGATATTATGATTCATAGGAAGTTAAATATTTTGTGCATTCAGGAAACTAAATGGGTTGGAGATAAGGCTAAGGAAATTGATAGTTTAGGATTTAAACTTTGGTATTCGGGTAGGAGTCGAACTAGAAATGGTGTAGGTGTTATTATAGATAAGAGTTTAAAGGATAATGTTATAAAAATTAATAGGATTGGAGATAGAATTATAGCTTTAAAGATTGTTGTTGATGATAAGATTGTTAATATTATAAGTGCTTATGCTCCTCAAGTGGGTTTGGATATGAGTTCTAAATTAAATTTTTGGAATGACTTAGAAGAATTAATACAAAATATAACTCTTGAAGAAAGAGTTTTTATTGGAGGAGATTCAAATGGACATGTTGGTAGAGAGGTAGATGATTTTAAAAGCATTCATGGTGGCCATGGATTTGGAACGACGAATGAAGGTGGCAAGACCATATTGGATTTTTGTTTAGCTTATAATTTTTTAATTGCTAATACCTTATTTAAGAAAAGAAATGAGCATCTCATCACTTATAAAAATGGATATAATACAACCCAGATTGACTATTTTCTTATTAGAAAATCAAATCATTTAGATTGCAAAGATTGTAAAGTTATTCCGAGTGAAAATTTATGTACCCAACATCGATTATTAGTTTTGGACTTTAAGATAAAGGGGCATAAAATAAAAAATAAAGTAAAACAATTTTCTAGGATTAAATGGGGGCATTTAAAGAATATTAACAAAAATATTTTTGGAAATAAGATTTTAGATCTTAAGATTTTGTCTGTGCATGAGGATGCTAATATTATGTGGGAAAAAGTGGCTAGTGATATTAAGAATATTGCAAAAGATGTCCTTGGAGTATCAAAGGGAAAAGCTCCCAATAGTAAAAATAGTTGGTGGTGGAATCCTAATGTGCAAGAAAAAATTAAAAATAAGAAGCTTTGTTATAAAAACTGGTTTAATTTTAAAAATTCTGATAATTGGGAAATATATAAAGTGGCTCGTAAGGATGCTAAGAAAGCAATATGCGATGCAAAGGCATTAGCTTTTAGTGATTTATATAATAGATTAGATACTAAAGAGGGAGAAAGATATATGTATAAGTTAGCCAAACAAAGAGATAGGAGTAGTAAGGATTTAGTTCAAGTGAAGTGTATTAAAGATGAAGATCAAAAAATACTTTTCTTAGAAGATGATATTCAACAAAGATGGATGAGATATTTTGCTAAACTTTTTAATGAAGATTGTGAAAATAAGATTGACTATAGTGACCTTAGCACCCTAGATGAAAATAAAGATTTATGTTTTTATCGGCATATTAGTAAAACTGAAGTTAGAGAGGCTTTAAAGAAAATGAAGGGTGGAAAAACTGTTGGACCTGATGATATCCCAATAGAGGTGTGGAAATGCTTAGGAGATGAAGGAATTTCATGGCTTACTAAACTTTTTAATACTATTTTGAAGACTAAAAAGATGCCAGATGAGTGGAGAATGAGTATGTTAATTCCTATTTTTAAGAATAAAGGTGATGCACAAGATTGTGCGAATTATAGAGGTATTAAGTTAATGTGTCATACTTTAAAACTATGGGAGCGAGTTATGGAGCATAGGTTGCGGCGTGATACTAATGTTTCTCAAAATCAATTTGGATTCATGCCGGGTAGGTCGACTATGGAAGCCATACATTTATTAAGAGGTTTGATGGAGAAATATAGAGAAAATAAGGAGGATCTACATATGATATTTATTGATTTAGAAAAAGCATATGATAAAGTTCCAAGAGAAGTGCTATGGAGAGTTCTTGAAAAGAAAGGAGTCAATAATGCTTATATTCAAATCGATCAAGTCATTAATAAGAGTACACGTTTTAGATATCTTGGATCTATTGTTCAGAGTGATGGTGAAAAAGATGGGGATATTATCAGCATAATTCAAGTTGGATGGTTGAAGTGGAGGAATGCATCGGGCATGTTATGTGATAGAAATGTACCCCTCAAACTTAAGGGAAAATTCTATAAGATGGTAGTGAGGCCTGCAATGCTTTATGGTGCCGAATGTTGGCCATTAAAAGAGAAGCATAATACTAAGTTAAGTGTGGCAGAGATGAGGATGCTTAGGTGGATGAGTGGCTTTACCCTTAGAGATAGGATACGAAATGAGCATATACGTGAAAAGGTTGGAGTAGCTCCAGTAGAAGATAAGATTAGAGAGAGTCGCCTTAGATGGTTTGGTCACATAAAACGGCGGCCTTGCGATGACCCAGTTAGGAGAGTAGATGTATTAGATTTGACTTATGTTAAGAAAGGTAGGGGTAGACCTAAAAAGACTTGGTTTGAAAATATTAGGAATGACCTTTCTTTATTAGATTTAAACGAGAATTTGACTTTTAGTAGGACACAATGGAGAAAAAGGATTCATGTAGCCGACCTCACGTAGTGGGAAAAAGGCTTGTTGTTGTTGTTGTTGTTGTTGAGTGGATATGTTAAAAAACACTTTAATTTCTCTTGCATCCAAATGAAGATGGTTTTTTACTGAGAATTCTTATTACTGCTTTCAACAAGTTTGGAGTACTTGATACAAACATCTTTCACCACTCATCTACATATTATCAAGTTAGAGAGATTAGTGAGTAAGCATATTTGTATAAGTATATACACATGTTGACGTTAAAAAGAGAATTACTAGCTACATTTCTTTCGTCATCGTCAGTGCAATTAATTTTCCAAAGCTTTCTAAGCTATCACAAAATAATATGACTTCATTCATTATGACTTCATTTATTACAACTGTGAGCTTAGAGCAAATGTCTTTATTTCTAATTAATTTAATTAGAGCTTGAAATTTTTTTTGCTTTTGATAATAGTTCTCTCTATCATAGTAGAAATGAGGATTAAAAAATATGTTGTTGCATGGATGCCTTATCTTAATTAAGTATCCCATGTTCTTTATTTATAGTAGTAAAAGGCTTATATGATCTCTTTACATTTCTGAACATAGTTTTAATTGCCTTCCATGTCCTATACATGTTATCATATAGATATCCAAGCAATGGTTTCTCATCTAAGTCAATAATACACAACAACCAAATAAAGGGCATGATATCTTCAAAATAATAAGACAATTATCCCAAAATCTTAAGTATAAAATAATTAAAGCTACTTCCTT